TGAATAATACTGATGCCATCAGCACCCCTTTTTTCTTTTCCATCATTCTTCTGGCTGTCCATGGACATGCACATAAATTCAATTGCTTGTAGCAGCCTTTCCAACCACCTGTCACGCTGTGTTTCCTCGGTGAGTACCTTATGTTGTGATAGGATAGCATAGTACTTTTCAGTTCTTCCAGGAGTTTCTGCACTAACAGATTGATGGGATGTAAAAACTCCTCCATCCTCCCTGGAAACATTTAAAGGCGACATATTCCTCCTCCCTAAAAGAAGTTTATTTGATCTCTGATCTTCCTGATCCGCAGTATTATCCCTGGGTTCAATGTCAGGAAGGTCTCCTAGAAGTGAAATTGTCTTCTGGACAAGCAGATCAATCTCATGTTGTTTGTCATCATCATATTCTCTGTCTGTTAGCTTGAACAACCTCTTCTGCTCAGAATCATATACATTCTGCACTATGAAACCAGGATGTTGCTTTCGATTTGGAAGTTTCTTGTTTGAAGGTATGAAGTGGACAACGCACTTGTGCAAAACACATTCTGCAGATTCTTCATCTCGGTGGAAACTATAAAATATCTCCCGCGTCGTACGTGCTTGCCAATTTCCGCCGTCACTTTTTTTCGCGTCCTCCAGACGATAAAACCACTGCACAGTTACCATCATGGCTCCTTCTTGGGTCTGTGTAATGTCCTGCACATAGAACAAGAACTCATCACTAAGTTCAGAAATAACAGTTACACATACAGTAAGATGCGTATTCCATGACTAATGCATTTCTAAAATAAAGTAAATAACACATCATTAAAACGTGAAAGACAAAATGATAATTTCAGATATACCAAAAGACTTTTACACTTTACAGAGAGAGACACCAAGAAGGATAATATAAGATATACTAAGAGACTTCAAACCCTAGGGGGGTTGATGAGAAACACTAGAGTTCAGCAGTCATTTGCAAAACCGCAAACACTTTATGGATATGGTGAACTACACACATTAAGAGTGCTTATAACCAAAAAAAGCACAACTAATTGATTCTTTAATTTGACCTTTTGCAAAACAGCAAACAGTTTTAATTGATTCTTCAATTTGACCTTCACATCTTAGATTAACTAAGGCATAAAAACAGAACAAACCTTCAGTATGGCCACGCGAGGCTTCAGATGTGTTTCTCGGGGAACTAACAGCACAGGATCCTCCTGAAATAAAGAACATCGTGATATTGAAGCAAATGTGCAGAAAAATCTAAACATACGAAATGAGTAACAGTTAAAATGTTTAAAAAGGATAACAGAAGTAATAAGCCACCAATATGATTAATTAATTAAATTTCCTCCACTAAACAATTGCTCAGAATGATCCAATTAGCAGTAAAGTCACAATAATCAATTAAATAAACAAATGATAGAAAAGGAAAGTAAAAAACTCACAAGATTATATAAAATGCCATCATATTCGAAGGAATCGAAATGATTCCTCCTCCATTCCCCATCTCCCGAAACCCTAACAATGTCACCAATAGGCTGCGCTGTTACCTCCACCGGATCCTCATCTTCACTCTCCGCCTCTTCCTCCTCCTCCTCCTCATCATCTTCACTCTCGTCCTCCAACTCGGGTTCCTCTTTCTTCTTGATCTGATCCTTATACTCTCTCAACTCCCCTTCCTCTAACTCAGAATCTTCTTCATCGTCCAGGCGCAGCATTTTACGCTTCCTTTGGTTCTCATGCTGGGGCACATCATCTTCGTCGTCACTGCTGTGCACCTGACGGTTTCTCATTTCTTTCTCTGGCTGACTTTGTGTTCCGTATGTGTCAAACACACAAAAATTGGGAAAGAAATTGAAATAATAGAAGAAATCAACAGAAATCTAGGGTTTCACAGGAGCAAGATGAAAGCCACGGAACCTCTGGAGAAAATTGTTCCAC